GATGGGGAGCCCACGTGGGGAGGTGCAGGCACTCAGGTGAGGCCAAGGAGTGGACCAGAGAGAGGAACGGGGCATGGCCCCTTGACCTGAAGGATAAACCTTCCTTAAGGACACCTCGTAGCTTCGCCCCACGTCCCCTGTGGGTGGCAGTGCCGGCATCGGCTGCTGGCTCATTCTGCCGGACCAGGGCAGCGAGCCAGGCGCCAAGCTCACTTGCCAACAGTCACCTCTCTCAAGAGGAGGAGGAGGGGGAGGAACAGGCCGTGAAGGTGGCTTTGATTCTGCATTTAGACCTACAGAATTTGGGGAGAGGACCTCCTGAGGGTGAGAGTGTGCAGGCCCCACCCATGGAGTTCAGGGGTGTGGGGGTGGGAAGCAGGCCTCCCATGTGTGTGCACTGCTGCCTGTTAGGGACAGAGACATTGTTTTAAACATTCAGAGAAAAGGACACAAATGAGCCCCTAACCAGACCCCCTGGCATGAAACTCAGTGGGGAGCCGATTTCAGAGAAGTAGATATGAATCTCTGGCTTTTGTGTTTGAGAGCTCTTAAAAATGATTGCTAGGAACCAAAATAGGCTCACTAAAAACAAGGATAATTCTAAAGGGAGCATTATTTTTGCTGATAAGGTTACTAGAAAAGAAGCAGGACCGCTTTTTCCCTGGCCTTTGCTGACCTCCCAGGCTGCCCTAGTAGACTGGGCGGGAGGCGGGTGAATTAAGCTTATATACTCGTTCCTTGGGGTGGCCATTACCAAGTGCCTTAAAATAGTAGAAATGTAAGCTCTCACCGTGAAGGCGGCTAGAAGTCTAAAATCAAGGTGTCTGCAGGGTGGGTTCCTTCGGGGGCACTCGGAGAGCATCTGCTCCGAGCCTCCCTTCCAGCTTCTGTGGGGCCAGTGGTCCTTGCCCCTTCTTGTAGTTGCATGACTTCCATTGCTGTCTGCACGCGGCCTTCTTCCCGTGTGTCTCTGGGTCCAAATTTTCCTCGTCTGAAGGACACCCGTCAATGGATTAGGACCCCTCCTAGTTCAGTATGAACTCATCTTCGCTTGATTACATATCTGAAGACACTGTTCCCAAATAAGGTCACACTCACAAGGACCGGGTTTAGGACTTGAACGGATCCGTTGGGGGGAGGGGTGGGGACGCATGTCAGCCCACAGTAGCAGCTGCTGAGTGGCCGGCCTTAACCCATCTTCTCACGGAGCTCCTCTGGTGACCCCAGCGTTCGGCAGCTTTATCCTTAGAGCTGTCGGTGTCAGAGCCGCAGGAATAGTCTCGTTGCTGTGTTGGCCTGACAAGCCTGCCCTCACCCTTCACAGGGCTTGGGGCCCCAGCTCACAGAGGT